ATATATATATATATATATATATATATATATATATATAAACTTTGTGAGACAGGTGGCTACATAAATATGGTAAATACATAAACAATATCTACACCAATACTGCAGGGGCATTTAATATAAAAAGTGTACATTCATTAAAGTAAATATAAAAAACTAATTTCTAAAGAAAGATCCATGTAGTGTCAACTTGGTATCACTATATCATTAATTCATTTCTTAAATATCTAATTGAATGTAGATATTTTTCTTGAATATTTCTAGACATTGTGGTGACAAAGACATCTTGAATCACTATTTGTTTTAGTGACAAGCAGACAAGCCATAAACATAAAATTAATTTGTAAATCATACACATACATTTGTTTTGCCCTTTTTTATACAAGGAAAGGAAGAGTTTTCAAGGATTATCAGCTATTACAGGGGTGTCAAACTGGTGGCCCGCAGGACGCATCCATCATGTGCAGGCCATGCCCAGCCCAACTCTGAGAAGGGGAAAAACATCATGAAACATCATGTAAAGACAACGTGATGCTGTGATTTTGACACCTGTGAACTATTAGGACATTCCTTCTTTCTTTAGCAACTGTTTTTATATTTAAAAAAAATACTGAAAACTCTTCTAAAAAGAAATTGCAAAACTACCATATTTTCAGAGTATAAGATGCACCAGAGTATAAGATGCACCAAGAGTTTGAAGAGGCAAATTAAAAAGAAAAGTTTTTGCATTCTAAAGAACTCCCAAAAAACCTCCCATTTTTCATGAAAACAGGCCTGTTTTTTGTTAAAAAAGGGCATGCATAGCCTTTAGGAGACTTATAGAGTGCTTCTGAGGGCTGGGGGAGCAAAAACGAGCAAAAAACAGCACATTTGTCACTCTTTTTGCCCTCCCCAGCCCACAGGAGCACTCTGGAAGCCTCCTAAAGGCTATGCATGACCATTTTTGCAAAGGGGGCAGGGTTTTGGGAGGCAAAAAATGCTCTATTCAGTGTATAAGATGGACCCAGATTTTCACCCTCTTTTTTGAGAGGAAAGGGTGCATCTTATACTCCGAAAAATACGGTATGTTGCCATCAAATGTTTTGCAAATTACAAAAATAATCCCATCTCTAAATACACTTAAAAGTAAAAGCAAAGGTTAGGATGCTACAACTGAAAGCAGGAATTGATGTTGTACAAAATACCAGAAAATCCCAAGCATTATCATTTGTATTGAAGTGCTCATGAAAGTCATCTTAAAGATGATGGCTAGGATCCAGCAATTATGCTTATACTGATTATTTCTTTAATGATTATTTGGAAACAAGGGCAGGAGAAGAAGGAGAAGAAAGCAGGAGAAGAAACTGTAATGCTCAGTAAAAAGCTCCAGACAAATAAGCAGATAAGGAACCACAATAAACTGATCTGGGGAAAATAGCAGCGTGTATTGAAGTGTACAGCTACTGATGTTAGAGCAGGTGGCAGCAAGTAACTCTTCTCAGCTGGTCTCAGGATGCTAAGCAGAGCTGAATTGAAGTGTTTTTTGGACAGAGAAATGCCAGGTGATCCTAGAACTGTAACTTTGACTATGAAATAATAACAGCAACTAAAATTGAGATACGAAAGCCACAGTCACTCTTTCTCAACCCAACTCACCTCACAGGGTTGTTCTGGGGAAAATAGGAAGAGTTATTCATAACAATCATAAAATAAGGACGTAGTAAAAGGCAAGAGCAACCCATTTGTGGCTTGCTACCCAAAACCAACATGGATGTGACTGTGTAATTAACGTACCAGGAGTTATTTTTAGAGAACCTTTATTTTTTTATGCATGTATGCTGTTCTACATGCTACCTTTGTCAAGTGTGGCATAAGCAGATCCTGAGTATATTTACTCAATGAAATGTTGCATTTTATTTAATATCCCCTTCTTCCAATATACCTGTATAAAGTTGTAAACAAAACCAAATAATAATAACTTGATAATAACTTAAAAACAGATATCTCCTTCAAACTGTAGACTCCTCTCAGATTTCCTGTCTCTAAGGTTGTGTTTATTATGGACAGAGACAGAGACATAGGAATGGCCAAATTTCTTTGCATTTTATAAAATGTATTGAATGCTACAAAGTGACAAAAAGCACTAAGTACTGCAAAACTGAAACAAACCAAATTGCTACATCCCTATTTATTAACTGATGGTAGATTCTGTCCTGATGTGTTTGAAAGAAAATGTCACCAAATAATTATTCAGTGAAAACACACATTTTTAAACATGATTTCAATAACAAGGGATTTTTACATTCTTACACAGATGTTTAGAAGTATTTAGAGGCTGTATGCAACCTCTGGCTATTCACTATATGTGTTAATTGATACAGTGTTCAGTTTACAGTGTTCAATTTCAGGGCAGTTTTGCATTCACTGTAAGTGCATGAAAGCAGTTGTGTTAAAAAGGAATTTATCATTTCAAACATGCCAACAAAAAAAGCTATACATTTATATAGCAAGAACTGAGACATCCATATATTGCTTGAAGGAGTGAAGTGTGAATGCTCTTAAAAATGTAAATCACAAAACTCACTTATAGATCGCTAAACAATTATAAAGATGTCCAATATAATATATGCAAGACTGTTGAAATGAAATCAAAACGAAGAATATTTAAATGACTTTTACAGCAATGCTATTCCAGATTACAACATTCTTCTAAAAGGTTTCGTTTAAGTCAAGTTGAACTCAATGTAACCTATTCCTAGGAAAGGGTCCACAGGACTGTGACATAAGATTATCACCCCCTATTTACTTTTGTGGAAGTATCTCCTATCTAATTCCACAAAAATTGTGCTTTTTCTGGCACAGAGGGAAAAAAGGGAGAAACTAGGTTTCCTTGGAGATTAAGCCGGGAAGAAGACTTCGGTAGGAAAATTAAAGAAGAAATGCAAATAAAGGAAAGCAAAACGGAGAAAAATTGCACACCCCAACCCCCTCCCCTAGCTTCAGAAAGAAGCGCTACTTTCTGCCCTCTGGTGTTTTTCTCGGCGATTGACAGGCCATTAAATTTCCCCATAGGCTGCTATGAGCAGAATTCGTGCTTCTGTCACGAAGAAGCGAAGGAAGAATTTCGCGCGCGCTCGGGCGGTCTCAGAAGAAACGGGGAAACAACTTCTGCCTCGCTTTCTCGTCCCGACCAGTTAAACCAGCGCCTCCTGTTTGACATCCTTCAGGTGCCTTCGCCAAACGCTCCTTGAAGTGCGCTTGAACAGTGCGCTATCACTGGCTTGAACACTTTAGGGCGGGGGGGGGGGGAGGAATGTCTCCAAACTTGGCCACTTTTAGACCAGTGGACTTCAATTCCCAGAATTCTCCCCAGCCTCCCTTCCATTCTGGGAGTTGAAGTCCACAAGCCTTAGAAGTGGCCAAGTTTGGAGAGCTTTGGCTTTTGAGGGAACGCGGGTTGCTGTCACTTCAGAGAGATCGGCCAGTTTGTAGCTAAATGTCTATGGAGGTTCTCAGTCACCCGGGCCGTGGTTGTCCCAAAGGTGCGTCTTTTCGGGAGACAACTGGACTTTCTGGTTTATCTTGGAAGACGTTTCGCTTTTCATCGCAGAAGCTTCTTCGGCTCTGACTGGATGGCGGGGGTGGCGGGGAGGATGGAAGGATTTATACTCCTTGCACCCAGCTGGTCGTTCGCATTATTTTAGCTTTTAGTCCAGTTGCTTCTTGAAAAAGTCCCTCTTTGGGAATCTAGTTTGTAGCGCCGTCTGAGTGTTCGGGATCCGGATTGCCATGCAAACTTTCACTAACTACGAGGAGTTAAAGCGTCGTCTCCCCCCCCCCGTCCCCAAAACCAAAGCAGTCCAGAGGGCGACACACACACACACACACACACACACACACACACACACCAGTCCGGAGCCGTCCCACGTCTTCTGCTGTGAAGTAACTCCTCCCAGGGGCGGGCACCGGCGGGTGGCTCTCTCTCCTGTTCCGCCACCGGGAAGGAAGGTATCGAGACCGCCATGGTGACCGGGGCGCTGCTATTTTCTTCCTTCTGCCGCTTCCGGAGGGCTTGTCTCCCGCCTCTTCTCATCGGGCCCCGAAGGAGCTACAGCCAAGACGATGCGCTCTCCCAGTACTTGCACCGCAGCATCGTCCCCACTATGCATTTTCAGAAGAGCCTGCCCCGGTAAGGAAGCGCCTCCTTGGAGACTGGGGTGAAAGTGCTTGGTCCCCGGGACTCTTCTCCTGTGGTCCTTCGGCCTCTCCCCAGCTTTGCTTGTTGGCGCCCTTCGACTGCCCTTCTGAAGTGGCCTTTGGTCCTCGCGTCCAATTCCCTCCCCTCTTTCAAATAGGAAGTTATTGCACAAGACAGTGTGCTTCTCTCGCCCGCTGGGTTTGGGGGAAGCCCGAAAGAAGCTTGTACCTTAAGTCGCACAGGAAAGCTCCCTATATCCAATTAAGATTTCCTTAGAAATTCATTCCTATAGCACTTGACACAAATTCTTCAAAGAACACATGTCTATGGAGATTTTCAAACCATCACCATGTCCCAAAGGTGCTTTTTCCAAAAGGC